CGAACGAAAGAGTTGAGAATGGAATCGCGCGCGCGCGCGCGCGTGAGCCGGAATAAGCCGCGCGCGTCGAACCGTTTCCGACGACAGACGATTTTAAAAGCCGAGCCCGTGCTCATCCTGGAAACCGATAAAAATCAGGCCAGATGATTTTAAGGAGGTCGTAAGTTCGTTTTCCGACGGTGTTCAACAGTTGGTCGGGGGAACGGGGGGAGAGAAAGGGAGAGATCTCTTTTCTCTCCGGGGTCGCTGGCGGGCGCGCGCGACGCCTAAATATAGCGCGGGCTATTTCCGAAATCGGCGGCGTCGGTTCGAAGCGTTGACGCTTGTCGGTCATCGGCGTGAAAAGGGAGGAAACAGGGAAGAAAACGGGGAGAAACCGGGAAACAATTTAAGGAACGAAATGGAACGCCGCGGAAACAGGGGGAAGCGGGGAAAGGCGGAAAGGGGGAAGTAGGGGGGAATGGAAGCGTGCTAGCACGCGTGCTCTCGCGCGCCGCTATTTATCGGTGCCACATGCGTGCAGGTGTCCGTGCGTGCTCCCGGCCCCTGGTCCCCGGTTATTTACGCGTTCTTTTTCCTCCTTCCCCCCTCTTCCCTCTCTCTTTCTCTCTTTCTCCCTCTCGGTCAGGTTCTCTTCTACCGCGTGGAATCGAGAAAGGGGAGGAAAAGACGAGCGAAGAGGAGAGAAACGTCCGCTGTTCGAGCGGATTCTACGTTTCGTCGGCTCGAGTCAATTTACACCGGCGCTGGCGAGGGCTGGGACGGCGAAAGATGGGGTGGCGTCCGCCCCTGGCTGGCCGACTCGGGCACGAAGGTCCTTGCCGATCGGCGATCACCGATCCCGGGTCGCGGGGCCCTCGGCTCGGTCGTATGGCTGCGCGTATCGTTTTCACGGTCTCTGTTTTCGGGAATTCTAACTCGCCGCGGGGACGAATAGGGTTTCCCGATAAGGTAAAAGACGAGTAAATTCTCCCCAATTGACGCTCGGCTTCGATACAAAAATGAACGATTCGGGAGGTGGAGATACGATTGTTCGAGCCTCGCGGCTCGTTTTTACAGTTGTCGACGATCGGTAACTATGAAAACGAGCCGGATGATTCGAACAATCGTATCTGATCTTCCTAAATTTGTTTTTTTTTCGGTATTATTCTCTATTTTTGTGTACAAGCTGAGCGTCGATTAGGGAGAATTTACTGTACCTGTTGTGGAACGCTCTTCGGGGGCTACGGGATTATCGTCGATTTTTATCGCAGTCGAAATGTGTTATTTATTTATTTGTATTCACGCTACTACGTTTTTTTCGATCGGACCGTGTTTCTATGGAACGCGACGATCTTTCGAGTGTACTGGGTGTCCCAGAGTCGATGGCGCAATCGAAAAAAGGGCGATTCTACGCGAGAAACGAATCAAAAATAAGGGATACGATTCGATTTTGAATATTCGGCGAGCACGTATACGAGTACAATAAATTCTCCGTAATTACTTTTTCAGGTTGTAAACGCAAATGGACAATTTGGGAAGAGGAGATACGATTATTCGAGTCTTGCAGCTGGTTTTTATTAAATTGTAAAATAAACTGTGTGTGGCAGACTATAAAAATGAGCCGCGGGCTCGAACAATCGTATCTGCTCTTCCCAAATTGTCCATTTTTTGGAACAATCTGAGCGCGAATTAAAGAGAATTTATTGTACTACGTACGTGACCGCCGAATCGTGTCACGTGGCCTCCGAATTGTCTTCGAGTCGTGTCATTTCGTCTCCGAATTGCCTTCGAATCGTGGCATGCGACCTCCGAATTGCCTGCGAATTGCCTTCGAATTGTGGCACGTGGCCTCCGAATTGTCTTCAAGTCGTGTCATTTCGTCTCCGAATTGCCTCCGAATTGCCTTCGAATCGTGGCACGTGGCCTCCGAATTGCCTTCGAGTCGTGTCATTTCGTCTTCGAATTGTCTCCGAATTGCCTTCGAATCGTGGCACGTGGCCTCCGAATTGCCTTCGAGTCGTGTCATTTCGTCTTCGAATTGTCTCCGAATTGCCTTCGAATCGTGGCACGTGGCCTCCGAATTGCCTTCGAATCTTGTCATTTCGCCTCCAAATTGCCTCCGAATCGTGTCATTTCGTCTCCGAATTGCCTTCGAGTCGTGTCATATCACCTCCAAATTGCCATCGAATCGTGTCATTTCGCCTCCGAAATGCCTTCGAATCGTGGCAAAAAATCATAAATAAAAGAGTTAAGGCGCTGCCTTTTTTTCTGCCAACTATGCCCCCGAGTTTCTACGAAAACGAGCCGCAAAGCTCGAAGAATCGCGACTCGGTATTCTCGGATCTGCCGGTTTCAATTTCTCATCTCCAAACATTTCCGGGGAAAAAATTACTGTATTTCGGTGGCAGATTTTTCGAGTGTATCCGAATCGACGGGCAAGTGTCTCTCGTGATAGAAGAAGATCGATCTCCCCGCTTCCTTTCGCCTAGACGCGACGCGCACGACCGACGAGACTCTACAAGTTCGCAGGCACGAGATCGTTGCGAAAGGACCTATTTACGAAAAGTCGCTCGACAGCCACCCCTGCTCGAAACAGTGGCAATGCGATACAGTGAAAAATAGACGGAACGTATGAAATATGGAACTCTGCTGCAAAGTAAGCATTCTATCCATATATTTGAACAAATACCGATTCTTAACGAATTCGCTCGCACAAATACCGTCGAATACCGTCACGAAACAATCAGTTGTAAAAAGAAATGTTCGAATATACACTCCGGCGCATTGTGTACTTCGATTTTTTCTCATCGTCCGGTTTTATAAAACGGTTGACTTTCGCGTTTCGTATTCAGCGGCCCCCAAATTGGAACGGGCATTTCAAATGCGTGTTCCGAAATATGGAGATTGAATAGGAAACACGCGGCACCCGGTACGAAAACGGTGTTCCATCACAGGGTACGCGCTCGTACCATGCTATTTCGCTCATATTATTTTTATTCGCATCAAATATACAGGGTTGCACGTCGGTGGCGGTGCGATCGAGAAGCTGGCAATTCTATGTAGAAAAAAAGTACGAGCCGTAAATAAAGAATGAAATTCTTTTCGGTCGAGGCTTTGCTGTCGCGGAAATGTTCAGCGTTTTCGACGATTTTCGCATCAATTAAGATATAACTATATATATACAGGGTGTCCCAAAATTATGGTATTTCCGAGAAATGAGAGATTCCTGAGGTGATTCGAAGCAACTTTTTCCTTTACAAAAATTTTCCCCGAGGCATCGTTAACGAATTATTCATTAAAAAACACTGACCAATGAGGGGCGAGTTCGCTCGGCGCTAGGCGACCGGGCCAATGAGCGGAACCGAGCTCCGTGCGCTCGTTGGCTCGCGCGCCAGCCAAGCTTGCCTCTCATTGGTCACTGTTTTTCGTTAATAACTCGTAAACAAAGCCGCGGATTGCAATTTCGCTAAGGAAAAAGTTGCTTCAAATGATCTCAGGNGAAACACGCGGCACCCGGTACGAAAACGGTGTTCCATCACAGGGTACGCGCTCGTACCATGCTATTTCGCTCATATTATTTTTATTCGCATCAAATATACAGGGTTGCACGTCGGTGGCGGTGCGATCGAGAAGCTGGCAATTCTATGTAGAAAAAAAGTACGAGCCGTAAATAAAGAATGAAATTCTTTTCGGTCGAGGCTTTGCTGTCGCGGAAATGTTCAGCGTTTTCGACGATTTTCGCATCAATTAAGATATAACTATATATATACAGGGTGTCCCAAAATTATGGTATTTCCGAGAAATGAGAGATTCCTGAGGTGATTCGAAGCAACTTTTTCCTTTACAAAAATTTTCCCCGAGGCATCGTTAACGAATTATTCATTAAAAAACACTGACCAATGAGGGGCGAGTTCGCTCGGCGCTAGGCGACCGGGCCAATGAGCGGAACCGAGCTCCGTGCGCTCGTTGGCTCGCGCGCCAGCCAAGCTTGCCTCTCATTGGTCACTGTTTTTCGTTAATAACTCGTAAACAAAGCCGCGGATTGCAATTTCGCTAAGGAAAAAGTTGCTTCAAATGATCTCAGGAACCCCTCATTTCCCGGAAGTACCATAATTTTGGGACACCCTGTAGATATAACAATAAAAACGATATATTCGAATTATAAATTCTACGCAATCCAAGCGTGAATTAGGGAGAAAATACCTAACCTCGGTTTTTTTTACTCGACTCACAGCGAAAACAGATCATTTTGCGTTCTCCTCCGGGAATTATAAATTACATAGGCGTAGCACCAGGGAAATTCACAGCAGCCCGAAATTTGACATTTCCGGGAGAAATCACTCCCCTCGTTCTCTGCGCTTTTCACGTTCGCAAAACTCGTCCCGATCGCAGCCTACGGCGGAACATAGTCGTCCGTCGCCGGGAACGCCGTCGAGCCTAGAAAAAAAAACAGAGGGCGGCCGCGGACGCGGATCTTCGGACGGAACGCTAACTAACCGCCGGGGCAGCGTATCGATTAAACGTTCACCTTGACACAGGTTGTTTCCTCGAAACTGACCGTGCGTGTGCCGTAGCCGTTAAAGTTCGCGCCGACCGTCTCGACGTCCGACGGTCGTGAAAACCGTTTTCGCCCGCGTTCGATTCCGTCGGAGGGACTCGTCGAATTTCCGAGGCGTAACTGCGGTCGCTTTACGACGTCGATAATGAAATACGTGGACCACCCGAGGGCGATCAAACATCCTGTCCCCGTATCCGTTGCAGAAACGAGTATCGATCACGGGCCGCCCCCGGGTGCCTCGGTGTGTTCCGAAGAAAGATCCTATCTTTTTAAATGTTCTTCCTCGAATGTTCCGCGCGGCGGTGCCCGCGGTAAATCAACGCGGCGATTACGGCCGCCCGGAATTTTTTAATTCGCGCCGCGCCGCGTATTCGGTCGCCGGCGCGGCGGTTTCGCGGAACCGGCCCCGAGGGTCGTAGGTCACGGACTTCGGCTACCGCCACGTGCGTCTCTGTTTCAGAATTGTATTTCTCGCAATCGGATCTGCACGCGAGGGTTCCTTACGCGCCGGGGGTCGTCAGACTGTTCGAGCTGAGGACGTTGCGGAACGATTCGACGGAGCCGAAGGACGTCGAGTATCGCGTTACGGTGCCCCGCGAGGGCGACGTCGCCTCCGTAGACCCGGGGACCAACGTTCTGCTGCTCCGTTGGCCGCCGGAATCCACGAATCGAGGTAAGCCGAGGTCGAACGATCGCCGGATGACACGTCGATCAACTCTCGATTCGGTGCCGCAGACAAATCCGAACGCGATGAGATCACCGTCGTGGTCAGCGCCACGGAGGACAACGCCAGCAACAAAGCCGTCCTGGAGGTCAAAGTGCAAGCCATTCCGAGCGATCGGAAGAGCGCCGATTGCCCCGGATTCGTGGAGGTAAATCAGTCGTCGACGAGACCGTCGGAACATGTGAGCTACGGCAACCAGACGGAATCGTTGCGTCGGAGGAACGGAAATTTTTAGTCGGTTCCATTGGGGTTTTTTCTTTTTTTAATATTAACCCCTTGCCGTACTTTGACGAGGCCGACTCGTCATGAAAAAATTTCTAGTAATAATTCATCGATCTAATAATAATTCATCATTAGATTCATCTTATTATTCTGTTCTTTAAAATCGGAATAGAATTTTAATCTCTTTGTCATCAATGTTTAAGCATACGAGCAAATTTGGGCACGCAATAAGCATCAATTTTTTTGCTCGGTTAAGCTCAATTGCAAGTTAACCCTCCGAGGCTAAAAATATTAACCCCTTGGCGTACTTTGAAGAGTCCGAGTGGCGATGAAAAGATTTCTAGTAATAATTCATCGAGCACAGATCTCTTATTATTCTGTTCTTTACAATCGGAATAGAATTCTAATGTCTTTGTCATCAATATTTAAGTATTCGAGCAAATTTGGGCACGCAATAAGCATCAATTTTCTTGCTACGTCAAGGGTTAAAAGCTCAATTGCGAGTTAACCCTCTGAGACTAGAAATATTAACCCCTTGGCGTACTTTGAAGAGTTCGAGTGGCGATGAAAATTTCTAGTAAAGTAAAAGCTCAATTGCAAGTTAACCCTCTGAGACTACGTGCTCCGTCAATATCGACGAACGCTTCGCTCTTTAACCCTTCGCTCTCGAATGGTGCTCGCGCGACATCATTGAAAGAATAAACTACGTTACTTTTCGAAACAGTTTCTACGCTATCGCATTATTTCCATTTCATTCATTTTTGCTCGCGGGAAAAACCATTTAACGCGGAAGAGGGCAATAAGATGATTCTGTTCTATCTCTGAAACATCGTTGAAAATGCGAACGTCGCACGAGACGATAACCTTAACCTTCCGAAGCTACTTCCGCCGCAAAATCAAGATTGATCTTCTAAGCTACGGCGTCGTTTACGTTTCGTAGGATTAGTTTTATTTTACGCGCACGATGTTAATCTCGTTTGCCCGTGCGACACTTGCGATTCTAATAGAACGTTGGATTTGAATAACGTGGCAATTTTGTTTGGACAGTTATTCAGCAATTTTTATTACTACTAGATTATTACTAGTATTACTATTATTGCTATATTATTATTACTAGAGATTTTAACGACCCAGAGTCACCCTCCGAGTGTAAAGGGTTAATATCATACGCCCGAACCGAGTCATGTAAAATCGAAATACTGCGCGTCGAAAGAAATGCACTGGTTTCGGAGCTAAAGAAGCATCGAGTGCAAAGGGTTAATATCTTATCGAAAAGCGAGTCGTGTGAAGTCGTAGGTACTTTTAACTCGTCGCTCATCGAACTAGTTTTGTAACGGATTCCGATGACCGATAATAGTCGCATTATTGGATCCAAGCTAGCCGATATTCCATAATTATGTTAATTCTCGGAAAGGGGTGATTCCTGAGGTCATTTGAAGCAACTTTTTCCTTAGCGGAAATGCAATCCGCGGCTTCGTTTACGAGTTATTAACGAAAAACACTGACCAATGACAGACGAGCACGGCTGGCGCGAGGCGGCCGAGTGGCCGAAACCCCGTTCCGCTGATTGGCTAGGCCGCCTAACACTAGGCAAGCTCGCCTCTCATTGGTCACCGTTTTTCGTTAATAACTCGCAAACGGAGCCGCGGATTGCATTTCCGCTGAGGAAAAAGTTGCTTCAAATGACCTCAGAAATCCCCCATTTTGCGAATTTGCCTCGGATCGCGAGACATTTTTGGGACACCCTGTATAAGCTAGTGAAACGTGTGCACGTATCTGCGACCGATCGCTTGAATTTCCAGGACATGTGTTTCTGGAAGGGATCCGACTACAGGATCTACGAGAACCAGCCCATCACGATGATAGGGAACTTCGGGCCCGAGATATACGGGGAACTGTGTCCCAGCTATCGCGTAACCGGTTACCATCTGCTGAACGGTAAGTCGACGCGGCTCGCTTCGTAACGGGGATACCGCGAAATAGTGGCCATAGTTCGCGATGCCACGGTCGGAAGAATTAATAAGCTTCAGAGTCGAGGCGGAGCGGGGAACGAACAATTTCTGGATCGGCGAGGAATCCAGACCGCACTCGCGCTCGGGCGCGCACGATTAATTGATAAGCCCGTATCTCTCTCTCTGCTTCTCGCCTCGGAAAATTTATGTGCCGCGGATCCCCGTGGCTTCGCAGAATCGCCGGGCGTTTGCCGCTGTTGGCGCAAAGCGCGCGTACGATCGATCACTTTTTCCAGGCACCGAGTACTTCCACGTGGTGAATAACACGCTGTTCGCGAACGCGTCGCTGGACAGGGACAGGCTGGGCCCGTGGCCGGCCGGCCCGGGCCCCAGGATCACGTTGAAGGTGCAGTGCGTCCTCTACGAGGAGACCACCGGGCTGCAGTACGCGCCGATCAAGCTGCTGGACGTCGACGTCCTGGATCAGGACGACAACGCGCCGTACGCGCAAGGGAACGACTCGATGGCGATAAAGCTCGACGAGTTCGTTGCGGTGAGTCCGTCTCGACGGAGAGAATCGCCGTCTGTATCGATTACAGGTGCCGGTGACCCCGAGTCGAACCGAGCCGACCTGACCGACGGTCGTCCAGATCGAAGGACCCCCGCGTTAACTTCTCGCGCGCGCGGAACCGTCGCGACGGCTCGGCCCGACGTCCTCGCGACGAGCAGCGCGGATCAGACGAGGATCGGACGGAGGATAGGATCGGACTCATTCAAGCCCGCATTGTTCTCGCGATCGTTTCCGGCATTGTTTCGGAGAGCGGACGCGAAGAGACTCGGAAACGACGGAGGAGCCTCGAAAAAAAAAAGAACACACGGGTGAAAGGACGGGCGCGAGAAGCGGGAAAACGCCCGCGGCCTTTATCTTGATTAAGCTCGGATGTCTTTGTTCCTTTTCTCGTTCGGCTGCTCGTCTCGCGAGCTACCAACGGAGCTCGGCTCCGTTTCCGCGCCCGCGATTCGCCGCCGCGTCGCGCGAATCGATCGACCGATTCCCCTGAACGGGCCTCTTCGATTTCTCCGCAGGGCGACAAGCTGGTCGACGACAACAAGCTGATACTGAAGGACAAGGATGCGAATTCCAGCAATCATTACACCGTCCGCATCCTCGGGGACACTTACAACGCTTTCCACGTCGACTTCAACACGCTGCCGATCGAATATCAGTCCGGCATTCCATACACCGCGATACTGACCAGTAAGTGCATGCTGGTTACGGCGCTGGCTTAGCCGTTTGCGTACCACGAGCCACTTTTGCGCTCTTCAGATTTTCAGCGCTTCAGAAAAGCCGGGGCATTTGGCCGGAACAGACGACTTACGGCCCACCCGAAATTTGTCGAAACGTGCTCGGTCTTTCAGACGCGTGTATACGTCGCGCGTCGCATCGCTGTCAGTAATCCAATTTGTATTTTGTTGTTACCTATTCTAAATTAATAGTATATATATTTTCATTCATAACGTTTTATTTTATGATTTACGGCTTTCTTCGACACATAATCGAAGGAGCGCTATTGCGCTCTTCGATCCTGTTTTTTTCAGAACCATCTGGTACGCAAACGGTTAACTAAATCCGCATGTTTAACCCTTTCGAGTTTCACTTCCGACGTACTTGTCGTCTTTGTCAGACTGCGGATCTTTCGGCGAACAATATCTTTGTGCATCGAGCGCGAGAAACGGGAACTGCGTGGACGTTGTATTCCTGTCCCTTCGCTAATTTTAATAATCATAAGAGTCGTAAATGGATCTTTACGATCGCGGATCTTTACGTAAAATGAAAACTTCCTGCATAGATTGCGCGAGGAATAATTCTGTTGACTCGAAGATTGCGTAATGACATTAAATTCTTTTTATGTCTTTCAGAATTTTATATTTTATCTCCTCGTTTTTGCCATAAAATCCGCGGTTTGATTAGAAATTATATTGTTAAATTGTTCTAAAAGTGCAGTAAATTCTCCCCGATTCTCCCCGAATGGATAATGTGGGAGGAGGAGATACGATTATTCGAGCCTCACGAGGCTTATTTTTATAGTTTCCAATTGTCATTTATATTTTATTGTCGATTATAAAAATTTGAGGCGCAAGGCTCAAACAATCCTATATTCTCTTCCCAAATTGTCCATTTTTGCTTATAAACTAAAAGAAAATTGGGGAGAACTTGCTGTATTTGTTGTTATCATAAATTCATGAAATCCGCAGTCTAATAATTACACATTCTATAGGATTAATAATAATACCGTTTTTCGCTTTGATTACCGCGCTGGCAACTTCGAATAAGATCAAAGTACTGTATTTAATCGCATTAATCAATTAATTAATTAATTCGAAAGTTAAGTTGCACGACTTCGATTACTATATCAATATCGTGCCGCGTTTTGCGGATCCTAATGAAACGAGGAGGACATAATAAATTGACCTAAATTCGAGCGACGCGGCGAACAGTCAAACCGTCAACAAGCATTCTGTTGGTCTAATTAAATTACGCTTTTTTCATTATATTCCGCGGTTAGCAATGCCACGATGTGTTTCGCGAAATCTGTCCGAGATTTCTCGTATCCAACGGACGTGCATCATTATTTCGGTATCCGACATTATGCGGATTCCATTGAATCGCCGTGTGAAAGAACGCAGGAGCACAGAGTTTCGGTCGGCCCGCTATTTCTGGGAACATTGAATAGCCGCGATTCTTATTGCTTCGTTCCAGGTATTTCCGCGAAGATGACTCTACTGCCGAAATCGCCGTATCGCGTGACGCTGCAAGTGCAGGATACCAGCCTTCTACCAGGATTTGGCGACAACATGGTGAGTACGGTAATTCGCCCCCCACCCCTGGAAATGTTCGGAGATCGGAACTGAAACCGGCGAATCCGAGAATACTAAGTCGCGATTCTTCGGGGCTCGCGGCTCGTTTTTATAGACACTTTTAGGGCAGTCGGCATGAAAAGGCCAGCGGCCATCGTGCCGGTGTACATTAACCCTTTGCACTCGTCGCCATTTTAACTCCAAAATAGTTTGTCCGATCTACAGTATTTCCATTTTGTATAACCTAGTGTATTTTATACATTTGAAACTGAATTTTGCGATTACACTATGCACAGTATCTTTAAATATAAACAGATTTGATAATGTTGAAATATATATTATATATATTTATTATATATATTATATATATTATAATATTTATATATATATATAAATATTGATAATCTTGATAATATATTGATAACCTTGAAACGAGAAGTAACAATTATGGCGCTTTAGAGTCGCCACTCGAGTGCAAAGGGTTAATTTAAATGCATAGTAATGCTGGAATAAAAACGATGACTTAATCTTTTTGCTTTCTAATTAGTTTGCCACGATTCGATTGCAATTCGGAAGCCACGTGAGACACGATTCGATCTAGAGGCCACGTGCCTCAGTTTGAAGGCAATTCGGAGGTCGCATGACAAGATTCGACGATCGCGTACTCGCTACCTATCGCGTATTTTGCAGCACCGCGGCATTTTTTTACGCGACTCACACCCAAAACAAACCATTTCGTATTGTCTTCCGGGAATTCGCGTCGCGTGCCGCATCACACGCTTGACCGACTCGGTCGGCCATCAGCATCGACGTACCAATAAATTACATAGGCGTGGGACTACGGTAAAATCTCCCAAATTTATCTTCAGCTTTTAAACAGAAACGATCAATTTGGGAGAGATACGACCCCATTATTCGACCCATCGCGGCTCATTTTTACAATCCCCGATCACCGATCGCTTATAAAAACGAGACGCGAAGCTCGAACGATCGTTTTCGTTTCTCGAGCCGAAGGGAAAATTACGGAGAACTTACCGTGGCACGTGGAAATTCTCAGCGACCCGAAATCTCGCATTTCTGGGAGAAATTGCTGCGCGTGCAAAGAGATCGAGGCGATTCGCGAGCTCTGATCGGATGCAGCGTTTAAGGACGAGACGGGACGGAAACGCGACGAATCAATTAAGAGACCGGGTTCCTTCTCAAAGGAACTCCTGCCGGTCGGGGTGCTTTCTTGCCGGGGATCCTTCGATGGAAATAATGGTCGAGTGGCTCGACCAACGAAGCGATTGAACGCACTTTGTGCCGCGTTCGCTCGCGATCCGAACTCGTTAAACAATAAGATATGGTAAAGCAGCTGCGACAGAGAAACATAGAAAGAAAGAGAGAGAGAGAGAGAGAGAGAGAGAGAGAGAAAGAGAGAGAGAGAATAACGGAGATAGGAAGAGAGAGGTAGGTGGGCGCGGCGAAGACTGCGGCGACGACTGCGGCGGTTTTCGTTTCAACCCCGGAGTTGCACGGGTGGCGTTAAGCGGGAATTAATGGGGATCGTTTCGGGTTCTAATTGCGCGACGCAGCTCGCGTGGGCGGAAGCTTCTTATTATCTCCGCGTCGAATTTCCGGATCCGAACGTTTTCCTGTTACCGCCCACCGGCGCGAGTTTCTGCCGTCGAAACCTACCTTCGTTTTCACGGTTCTGCCGTTCGACGACGACGCGACCCCCGTCTAACCCGCCGCTTCGACCAACAGTTGAACATCTCGCTGACCTTCCAAGGACCCGTGCAACGGCAGAGCGCGACCACGCCGTCCTCGATATCGTTCAAGCAACCGTTTTCCTACCCTTCGACCGCGAGGCTCGCGAGGATCGCTCCGCTTTACTCGCGGGTCGCGAAACCTACGAACGAGCCTCATGCCACGGTCAGCTTCAGCATCCACGGCTCGGCCGCGTTCAACGTTACACAGAAAGGAGGAATCATTTACGTCGCCGACGAGCAGCTGCTCAGAACGCAGTCCGACAATCTCACGTGAGTCGATTTCCGAGTGGTGCACAGCGATTCCAAAAGCGAAATCACGGCCGAAACCATAAACTTCGATTTAATCGGGAATCAGTTTTTCGGGATTGTTAATTACTGATCCGAAGTAAACATTCTTGGCATACAAAACGGCGAAGTTAATGCGGCGGATATGCATTGCTAAACATTGTTTATTCTTTGGAAAATGTCGTGCGGAAATTTTTTTATTTCTATTTTTCTAGAATTTTAAATTTTTGAGGATTTGAACTAGTTTTCTGAGAAAGACTATAATATTCAGAAGTCATTCATTTATTTAATGCTGCAGAGCTATAATATTTTATAGACACAACGTTTTAATATAAAAAAAATATATAGAAAATTTGCTAAAATGTTGGCCACGATGAAGTGCGATATAATGAGTTTTTCATATCTTATTCAGATTGAAAGATGTTAATAGAGGGCTTGTAAATGTCGTAGACAAAAATGTAAATACATTTGTTAAACGAGAAACGCAAGAAGATATCACATACAAAATCTTCCATGCTTTAGAAAACACTAATGACGCTGCTTGCAGCTATGCCATTATGCATCGTAAAAAGTGGTCGTATAAACAAGGTACATTTAGTGGCAGCTGAGTTTTTGCAAAAACTCAGACTGCAAAGTAACAATGCCAGCTAGAAATACCCTCAAAAATTTTAGTGGAATATTAGGGAATACACAATTTTTATCTAATATATTCAAAATTTCTCCTTAAAATTTTCCTGTTCGTCTCTTACAACAAATTTTATAACCGTATAAACTTAAAACTAAAATTAACTGTTGCAGATATTGTAATATACAGGGTGGTTCAATGGTTTCATGTGGGGCCCATTTTGATGATACCAGTCATTAACGTCTTTCTAAATAGAATCATATATTTTTTATTACATCAATCGATGCATCTTAATATTCTTTACAAAAATAGTATTAACCTATTTATGTTAAAATATCATTAGTTTAGGAGATATTTTAATTTATAATAGTTATCACATTGAATTCATAATATCGACGAGACAGAGTCACGACTTTTCCTAGCAACACTAAAATTAAAATATCTCCTAAACTAATGATTTTTTAACATAAATACGTTAATACCTTTTCGTACAGAATATTAAGATGCGCCAACTGATGTATGAATGTGCTCCTCTCGGAACCATTCAACTTCACCTGAAACGTTTCTCGCCACGCGTAATAATAATCGCGTACATCTAGACGGCAATACGTGGTATTATCCATCCAGTATATGCATAAAGATTCTACTCACTTCCAGGAACAGCATCCATTTTGCAGAATTATGCATATGCGCGTGAAACGAAGCAAAACTTCGAGCTCGATCCATTTCGCAGGTTCAGCGGAACCTCGATTACCCGGGCTTCGGGCAATAAAATAGTTGCTTACCAGGCCCATATTTCGTCCTTATTGATTAGTACAGTAAATCATCGTGCACTTGCGCGTTGCCTTGGATCGAGCCGATTACGCTCGGCGAATGTATCGGGACAATCGGGAATTCCGATATCGGCGAGCCGGATAATCGAAGCTCCGCGAGTGATAAAACCATCGGGCTCGTCCACAGGCGCACTATTTGCGAATCAAAAATAGCACTTACCGTATATACCCGACGTAAACTTCATTTTAGAGGCCTCGGCCGCGATTTCTCGCCGTTCGGGAACACTGTGCGCCGGCCCCGAGTTCGAACGACTCGGTTCCGGACGGTCGCGCGAACCTCTTTTCGTTGCAGACTGAAGATCAGGTGGACCGAGAAGGATCGAACTTCCTCCTCGAGAGTGATCCGCATCAATCTGGTAGCCATAGGAGGGTCGAAGGCGTGCAATGGCAGGGTATATTCTTGCGCGAACGCCGAGAAGCAGGACAAATGCGAGTCGAGTTGCGGAGTCGCGAGCGGAATTCTCAGGTGAGCTTTCGCCTTTTCCTCCGCGGTACAGTAAATTTTCTGTAATTCACGCTCGGATTCTGCTGATTCTGATTTTGGGAGAGGAGGTGCGATTATTCGAGCCTCGCGGCTCGTTTTTATAATTACCGATCGTTAACGATTATAGAAACGAGGGGCAAGGCTCGAATAATCGTATCTTCTCTTCCCAAATTGCCTATTTTTGTTCGCAAACCGAAGGAAAATAAAGGATAATTTACTGTAATTAAACAGCGGATTTTGTGCATTCGTGGGAACGACGAGCAGAGGCGAAGAACAGCGAAACGATTCGATGGTTTTCAGAATGTCGCGACTTCTAATTGGCTGCTGCTTCTGAAAATTGATACAGCTTTCATTTCGCATTAACCGCTTCGGTACAGATTTATTTGACAAAATTCTTGCGTTTGGAACGGATCTAATTCTCCGATGCGCGGAACAGTATATAAAGACGGTCATTTTTCCCTAATTCGCACTCAGATTGCGCACGAAAGTGGACACTTTTTGGAAGCGGAGACACGATTATTCGAGCCGCGCGTATAAAAACGACCCACGCAAGGCTGAAATAATCGTATCTCTTCTTTCCAAATTATCAATTTTTGTGCAAAAACTGAGACATCGAAGAGAGGGAGAATTATATTATTATTATTAATTATATTATATATACAATAATATATATATATATATAATATATTAATATTATTATAATAAATATATAATAATAATAAATATAATATATATTATTATTATATATAATAATAGAATACTCGCTCTCGTAATTCCAGCAACGACAGCTTCTCCGGGCAATGCGTCTGGAGGCGCAACAACGCTTCCGGATACTCGGAGAATTATCAGACCTGTTCCCCGGACTTGGCCTACTGTCCCGACAATCGCTGCGACGAGCTCGAGTCGCTCGACCCCCGGATCTGCCCCCAAGACTGTGCCCCCGTGGCACATTGGGCCGACCTGAACCTAGGTGGCCGCGGGATCAAAAGCGGCTTGGGTACGTGCGCTTGCGACGACTTGCTCGAGTGCACCTGCAACGTCAACAAGCATCCCCTGCAGACCGACTCCGAGAAACCGAACAAGGACGCGCGGGACGGCAAATCGAGGAATCCCGAGGACAGTCGGGAGAACAGCCTGGAGAACGAGAATATCGTTACCGGTGCTCGAAAAGGTACGTCGACCGAAACGCTTGAAATCGTCGCCCATCCAAACGGACTGTGCACTTTCGGGGTTGCATCCGCGACGACGAAGTTCGTACCACTCAATTTTATTGGTCCGTTACCGTCGTCGACGAGTTTTAACGTTGCTTCGACGACACGGCCGTTTTAGAATTATTCATACAATTATTGTTAGATATTTCGTAGTCGTTGGTTTCGACTTTTTAACCCTTTGAACTCGAAGCCATTTGAACTGTAAATCTAAGATAATTTTTCCGACTCACGGTATTTCCTTTTCGTATGACAAAGTGCATTTTATGCATGTGACATTGAGTTTTGTGGCTCGTATAACGCGGTTACGCTTTTAATACAGATTTCTTAAATCTATACTTTGATGATATAAAAATTATCTTGGAACGTGATATAACAATTTCAGCGGCGCTTCAGAGAGTTCGCTCCAGTGCAAAGGGTTAATTTTATAAATTGTATGAAGTTCGCGTCATTGTGCTCCGAGTTTGGAACGTTCGCGTTGCATGGAAGATTCGACGTTCTTCTTTCAGTATTGTAGTTTTCACACACACACACGCTATGTTTAAGGGCACAGTAAATTTTCCCTAATTGAGGGAAGCAGATTGTGCACAAAAATGGACAATTTGGGAAGAGGAGGTGCGATTAACACTAGATTTACGGAACCCGTCAAAATGGCGGATCACTAATTTTTTAGGTTACGATTATTCATATCGCGAAGATGCATTTATGAGTTATTTAATCAATTTATATGTTACTCACGGCAAATGTTACAAACAAAATTTCTGTTAAAAATCAGAATAAATGTCTCATTGTTCCTTCTGTAAACCGATATAAAAACGGCTCATTTTTATAGTTGCCGATCGTCAAGAATTCTGAAAACGGGGTAAAAATTGCCCATATTCGTGCACAATTTGAGCGTCGATTAGGGAGAATTTGCTCGCGAAGTTCTGCTTGAAAATTGAATAGAATTCACATGGGCAACGACCCCGCAGATTTGCTCGAATTTTGTTGTTTGCCGACAGCAGCCAGCGGCCCGTGCGGCCCCCTCTGCATGATCGGTGCGATCGGCGGCAGTTTCTTCGTGCTGATAGCGATCGTCGGCTCGCTCGTCACCTCGAGATACAGGTACGCTATCTGCGGCACGTGAATCCTACGGCGATGTTTGCCGACCGACACAATGCGAACGGTTCACGCGGCCCGACGAACGGAGGAATCGCCGATAGTCCTCGAACGGGGTCCTTTGTGCGGCCGTGTCCATTCGATCCGTTCCGTTGGATCGAGCGCCTCCGATAGGGACAACACAGAGAGTTTGTTCCCGCGGCTCTTCGATATTTCGGGGACGCGCGGTAGATACGTGCTTATCGAGGTGCACTATCGATTTCCCCCGAGCCTTCTGCACGAGCCGTCCATCCGGCTGTGTGCTCGCGAGTAACCGGTGGGTGCTACGTTCTTCTATTCATCGGACACGCGCATCGTCCTCGAAGACCCGCGATCTACAGGCCGCGTCGTAAAAAGCGATCGGCGGCAAGCCGTCCGAAAAAGTTCGCGCGAAATCGTTCCGCGAAATCTCGTTCGCCGCGGAATCGTTTCGCGTACCACCGCGGCAGATTAAAAAACTTCGAAGCGCGCGCGTGCCTCGCGCGTCCACGAATTTTATGGCGGTCGAGGTCGCGGTACAGTAAATCCTCCCTAATCGACTTCTACCTAATTGCTCGCCGGCTTGTCAACGGCTCTAAAAACGCGATGCTCGAATGATCGTCCTTCAATAATAATCGTCCCTTCTCAAATCGTCCATTTCGCGCGCACAATTTAACCGTTCGAGCCCCAAGCAGCGCGATCGCGCTGCTCAGATCTTGTGTCGCGATCGAAAACGTTAGTGACGCGCGTACGTCGCGTAGCTGCTCTTTTTTTCATTTTCTTTCTTTTCGTTTTGTTTGTCGATCTTGACGAGAGCTGTCGCGCCGCTTTGTTCCCTTCGCAATCAATTCAGCGCTATCGCGCTGTTCGGTTTTTTTCGATCGTGTTTTCCGAATAATCCCTGGCACTCAAACGGTTAACACTAAACCTACCAAGCAGTAATACTAACTGGCATGTACTATTTCACGAAAGTGAGAAAATCGAATTTATTTGGAATTTGTAAAGTTTTTATTATAAAACTTGCTCCAATAATATGATATATGATATTATATATATCATATAATATATATATGATATAATAATATAATAATAAATAATATATAATATAATATATATATAATAACATAATAATAAATAATATATAATATATATAATATAATATATATGTAATATGATGCTCCAATAATTATTCAAGCGTTTTCCTCGACAGAGTCTCGGAACTTTGCAGAATTGCAAAACAAGAAAGCGGTCACTTCGACCGCGGTAGGTTCAGTGTTAACCGTCGATTAGAGAGAATTTACTATAATCGAAAAACCTAGCTTCCGGTGGACAGACAATCCGGCGATTCTCGTATCCGCCCCTAACATTCGCGCTCGAAGAAACTCTCGTCCGCTGTCCGCGCGGCACTTTCAGCTATGATTAGACCGGCGTTGAAAGGCTTTTAACTTACTTATTGGCCGACTGTCGATGGAAATGCATTTCTCCGTTTTTCCGATACCACGGGGAAACTTTAGAATGGCTGCGAAGGGGGCCCGCAGAGACGGCAAGCGGAGACCGGCGAACGGCGATGCCACGGCGATCGGAATACTGCCATCCGATTACATTGACAGAGGCGACGGGCTGTTGATAGGGCTGGACACGTTCACCGCAGCGAACCGTCATCTCTTATTTTCAAAAAGCTGTCCGGTAAGTTTTCCGCCATGTCGGGGGCCCCTTCAAAAATTCACCAGTTTTACAGCCGTGTTACCGATACGTCGGCGTGGCAGCCGAGTCCATCCACTTCCGAGCGTTTTAAAATTTAACCGAATGGATCCGGGGTCGCGCTTCCGCACCACGTCGGGGTTGCTAATCCCACGCTTCTCCCCGCTGAAAATCCGCGGAATAATAGCAAAATTCCCCGGAAACTCGGAACTGAATTAAGCCCGCGTCGGGGCAAGGTCGCGGAAGTTTAATCCCTGTATCAGAATGCATCGCGTGCTCGAGCTGCGCTCGCGTCCTGTTAACAAGGAAACGCGTTTTCGATTCTGGGTTGTCAGCCGGACCCGAAATGGGAGTTCCCGAGGTCTCGGCTGGCCATCGAGCAGATCCTCGGCGAGGGCGAGTTCGGCCGCGTGCTGAGGGCGAAAGCGGTCGACATCGGGGGCGTGTCGGGCCCGACGACCGTCGCGGTCAAGACGCTGAAGGAGAACGCTTGCGCTTCGGAGCTGGCCGATCTGCTTTCGGAGTATCAGCTGCTGAAGGAGGTCCAGCACCCGAACGTGATCAGATTGCTGGGCGCGTGCACCACGGCCGGCGCGCCGGTCTACTTGATCATCGAGTTCGCGGAGTTCGGCTCTTTGCGGTGAGTAACCGCGGCCGCGAGACACTGGAATTCCCGTATTGCGGAATTCCTCCGCGCGGCCGCCCGGACAATAACCGGTCCGCGGGATGTACACGTAGCGTTCCGGTAATTAAATTCTTCGCGGCGAGAAAATACCTTTTCTGGCTGCGGACGAGCGTTAACCGGCGCGACGCTGACCCGGCGCCGGCGTCCGCCACCCTTCTTCCGCCGTCGCCGCGTTTCTTTCTTAGCCGCGATATTACGAAAACGGGGTTGCTCGCCCTTTCAGGAACTACTTGAGGCGCAGCCGACATTTGGATTCCGAGGGCAGGAACGAGGATAACACGGCCGCGAATACCAACGCGGACCCGAACGTCAACGCGACGTCCACTTACACCGTCACGTCCCGCGACATTCTATCGTTCGCCTGGCAGATCAGCAAAGGCATGGCCTACCTTGCCGAGATCAAGGTAACGCGGATCGACGACCGTTGCGCGCACCCGGTCGTGCACACCCTTCGAAATAAAAGGATTTTTTTTTAAACCTTCCGGGTCAAACGACGCGAATTTCGTCGAAATATTAGCACGCGTTAAGAAATATTACAGAATCTGTAATACCATTTTTGGAGAGGCAGCCATTGGGTGAAACGTGTTTTCCAACTTTTTATAAATACATGAAAGCAAAAATATATAATAAAGCTATAATATAATACTATATATGATAAAGCAAAAATTCGGACAACGCATTTTTCACGGATCTTTCTTAGCCCTCGTCGCGACGAAATTCAAATCGTTTGATCCAATTTTAGAAAAGTTATTCGAGTTGTACATATATATAAGGTGCCCGGTGTTTTTCTTCAAATTTTCTTCAAGATCATCGTCATGTCTTATGCGGTGAACTTTCCTGTCGCATCTTGCGGCAGGAGGCTAGGAGATACAATCGAATATGTCTGCATAATGTTCTTGAAACGACCTCGAACATTACGAGATGGAATTGTGAGACAATGGCGAGGATCTTCGCAACACTTTCAAAAGACAGACTGTTCCTGTTGGCAGCATCTTCACAATATTCGAAACAATGGACCTATTCAAGCGGTTCCCTGTACACCCTATAAATCTATACATTCTTCCGTCATTTCACAATCTTGCGGTAGACTGAAACCGACCTTTGTCCACTTTAATTAATTAATTAATTAATTTTAACGAAAACAAGACTTTCTACTTGCACCTGAGAAAGCTGTCTGCAGTGTTTGCAAAACGTCGATGAAGAAATAATTCGAAAAGAACTCGCGCGACTTGCACGCGGAGAGCCTTGAATCTCCGTCGAATCTCCAAATCTTTACTAAACTAATCTCTGGTGCAGCTGGTTCACAGAGACCTCGCCGCGAGGAACGTGCTGCTGGCGACCGGCAAGGTGTGCAAGATCTCGGACTTCGGGCTGACGCGGGACGTGTACGAGGACGACGCGTACTTGAAGCGCAGCAAGGGTCGAGGTGCGTGTGAAAAATTCGTATAAGAACTCCGGGCCGCATCGAAACGCTCTTCCACGATGTCCGAGTGTTTTCACGGTCGTAAATCTCCGAGGATTTGCCGGAGCCGTCGCAGGCAGCCAGTCGAAATCCCTTTTTAATCCAAGATTTTACTGGCCGTAGTTCCCGTGAAATGGATGGCGCCCGAATCCCTGGCCGATCACGTGTACACCAGCAAGTCGGACGTGTGGAGCTTCGGTGTGCTCCTCTGGGAGTTGATCACCCTCGGCGCTTCCCCGTATCCCGGCGTCGACGTGCACAATCTCTACAACCTGCTGAAGGCTGGCTACCGCATGGAGAGGCCGGCCAACTGCTCCCAGCAATTGTAAGCGACTCCTCGATCCCATCGAAACTTCGTTGTCGTTTTATGCCAATCCGCGTTTCCGCTCTCAGGTACAAATTGATGGTGTCGTGTTGGCACCTCGAGCCCGGATCCAGGCCGTCCTTCAAGGAGCTCACCGGTCACTGGGAGAGGATGCTGGAGGACAGCGTCGACTACTTGGATCTGAACCCTAGGACAGTACAGAACAGATCTTACTTCGCGTCTCTTCACGCGTTGGACAGTCCGAGCAGTGAGTAGAGAGCGTCTTCCCTCTTCGATTTCCGACGTTGAAAAACCGTCTCGCGTTTCCCGGCAGGTTCCGGTAACGATGAGCCCGACGACCCCGCCGAAGAGACGACCACCTTCGGGAACAGCGTCGTTAATTACTTGGAGAAACCCTCCTTCGACAAGGTGACCAAGTGCGACAAGGTCGACAAGCTGCACACGCTCTGGCAAGAGCCTATCGCGTCCTTTCCCGACTCCATGGATCGGACCAAACCGTCCTACGTGAACGATCAACGTACAAATCTGCTGGACAATCATTACGAGAGCCCGATCAAGTTCGCGAGGAACGCGAGCGTCACGAGCGACAGCGAGAACGACTTGGCTACGCCGACCAACGAACGTCCGCAGTCTTACATCGACATGGAGGGCAAGAAGTATCTGGAATCCGAGAACCTTTTGGATTCCAGCAGCGGGGACGATCGCAAGGGCAAAGAGAACTGAGGGAAGAATCGAGGATCGGAATGGCCAACAATCGATGAATCCGCATCGGCGAAATGTGTGCACGCGGTTCAGACTGATCGGGCGGAAACCACTGAACGTTGTTCAACTAAAAAGACTCATTTTTACGTATGAATTACCGGGGCCCTGTATCGAATGTATCACAGCCCATTCGTTTGGTTTCGTTCAGGTTCGTCCAATTCCTGTGTAATTAATTAGCACCGTCGCGCACCCTCCAGCTCCTTCCACTGCGTCCCGAGACTATCGAAGATCCGACGACGGATCGTCTGTTTATACCAAAAAAGAAAAAGAAAACGATTTATATCCGATAAGTATAGATCTGGAATTCGTACAGTATTTTATAGCTTCGAACAGCAGTGCGAGAGGCATTTGTTAGCGCACGTGCTTACCGCTTCCGAGAGCACGCCACCAACGATCAACAACACATGTAAATACATGCGATCATTATTCGTAATCGAGAAACAAAGGACCGGGCGGTCCACACACACTTGCGGGCGAGAGAACGTTTTCACACCTCGTCGAAGAAACAGGTCGGTTTGTATTTATGTATAAAGCAGAGCCAGAGCATTCCATTACATTAGTTAGTTAGCGCCCAATCAATTGTCGCGAGAAACGTACGCGTACAAATTCAGTTTTTTTTTTTTTTAACTTACGTAAACTTGCGTTTCGTGATTCGTCGAGCTGCGAAAGTTGACTAGTTTTAACGGAAAAGGATGCACTTTCCCTGAACAATGTATCTGTTATATCGTGTCGTCGTTACCTTTCTTGTACTTAAATATCTTCGTATGCGTATGATATATTCAATAAACTCGTCGGACGGACAGTTGCAAAGCACAGCGAACGGACGCAAAGAGTTTACCCATACGGCGACGATTGGTTTCCCTGTTTATTGACTCGGCAGACGGTACAGACATACAAGAGACATCGTCCTTTCAACGGCTTCCAAAGAACTGTCTTGCGAGAACGATCGCGGGTGGTCGTCGCGTTGGTGGAGATCGGCTTGTCGTCGAACGTTTTCGGTGGAAAAAACTTAACGTAGGTAAAAATAGAACGGAATCACAATTCCAATTCGTCGACGCAGAACGCGCCGGTGTGGTTCGTCGACGATCTGCGAACGAAGGACTCTTCTGGGTCCGCTTCAGCCTCGCCGAGCAAATTCAGATTGCCGATATCGGTGGCGAACGTTTGCGACACTATGTCGTTACCGTTCGTCAACACGGAGCTCGTGTTGTCCAACGATGACGGCCTCAACAGGTTCTCTGAAACATGCGAACGCGATAAATTAATAGCGAGACGTACGTCGAGAAGATGGAAATGCAAATGAAACGAACCGGTCTCTCGCGCGTCTCTCGACGAACTACTGTCCTCCTCGAGCATCTCCAATTTCGCTAATTTCACGCTATCTAAGAACTCCTTGTCGGAGACGCATCCGACGCACTTCATTTTGTGGATCTCTTTGACGAGATTCGGCAGTTCTTTCGGCAGAGAGAATCTTCTGAGATGTCGCGTTTCCTCGGGCACGTCCTCGAGCTTGCAATACGGCAGCTGAACAATGTAATAGCGTTTCTTTTTGCGCGCCTGATTCTCTTTAACTAGCTGTAAGAGGTGATTATCGTTGTCTTTGTAAATGAACGACACGGTGGGTTTCTTGGGCGGTGGGGATGCAGCGACCAGGACAACGTCCGCGCTTTGGAAAGCGGCTCCGCAGCAGTCTTTTAGATCCTGTGTAAATGCGAAGTCTCGTTCGGGCTGAAAATTATACAGAGCATTGTCGTCGATTGTCTGTTGAAACGTAAATTGCTTCAAGCTTCGTGTCTACTAACATTTCCCGCGCTGTCGGTAACGTCGTGCGTGTCTATTACAGTGACGTTCGAATTCCTCAAGTATTTGGCCAACTCGTTCATCGCGGTAATGTGAGTCAGTCGTGTTGGCGAATAGACCAGCAAGCAGGTGGGTTTCCGTCTTCGCTTTAGGATCACTGAAAACAAATATAAGATTACAGGAATAGCTCCACTGAAATATCTGATCAACATTACCTTTTCTGCACAACTTGTAACTATGATAGACAGCACAGCATATCGCTGGTGGTATCCAAACTGTACTGATGATCATGATGAAAATGGGATGACTGGATGCTTCTTTTGCAAAATGGGAGAATCTGTTACTCCGTCTAAATAGGTGACACGATATTCATGCGGGAATTTATCTCTTGCTTACGTATGATGATGTGCGGCGTGGTGCTGTTTGCGCACCCATAATCACCGCAACTGGAATGTATGGCGGAGACCTTGAAGTAGAAAACACCGGTGCGATCGGTGAAGTCGTACGAGATCTCTCTGTTGCTTGTCGCCGAGGAGGCGTTCTTGTCCACGGAATCCGTGTCGTTGTTCATCAACCAAACCCTGTACTCTGACACATTGAACGATTCCGGCAGAGCCTGGATGTGCAGCAAGAGGCGAGGTTCGTCGGACACGTCGATGTACACGAACGGTGTGTAATTACGCACGCCCACATCTTCATCTACAAAGGGAAACGATTACGCTGTATGCTCGAAATACGAAGATGTTAATCGACACGCTTACCGATCAATCTCTGCTGTGGAACGTTAAAAATATATTTCTTGCTGTAGTTATACGTCTCGCCTATTAGTTGGACGTCTAATCGGTAAGAAGACGACTCGTAAGACTCGTCCGAGAACGGGCAAGAGACGTACAGCTCCTTTGGCGCCGGATGCGTTTTGTTCCCATAGAACTTTATCTGTCTACACGCCGACTGGTTCGGATTTAGTAAATTCTGGTAGCGTGTGATCAGTCCTGTATCGACGGTGACACGATTAATACAGAAAATTCGTCCGTTATTCGCGCATTGTGCTAGCTTCGTGCTCTTACCATGAAAATTTGCTTCGGTCACGCTCAGGTTGAAAGCAGTTGCTATCTGACTTAGATTGTATACGTAAGCACGGAGACTGACTTTATTAGAATCGTCCTGTGTATCTCCTTTATCGGATGTTTCGAACGTAAGCTTGGCACAATCTGGAGAAGAAATTAATTGTCACTTGAATTCTTGACCTTCGTTACACGGATTATATGTATACAAACTGCGTTTCTGTGGATAATCTTGAACGGATCCTGTACGCTTATTTTCATACCTTCACCCTTTTCGACCGGTGTCAGTAGACATCGAATTCCAGGTATCGGTGTAAAATCCTCCTAAAAGAAAAATTAAAAAATCATTTTCAGCATTGCAGAGTCATATCTATGAATAACGATATCAATGTGTGATTGTCACGCACACAGCATAGGACATTGAGTGACACGCGCGCGATAAAGATAGGGAAAAATGATACACATAGAGCAATAGATAACAGGGACCGTGGTTCTTTCGATAGCGTTAATAACGATTTCGATGATCAACGTATACTTTAATCCCGCAGAATCGAAGCGATGGCCGCTATATAGAAGAGAAGATCAACGTTACCGTGGACTGACAGTAGTCTGGATAACAAAGGGAAGCTGTAACGCTTCTCCGAAAGTAACAAAGAAGTATCACCAAGTGGACGATATTCCGCATCGTAGAGGTATAATTGCGAGTCTGAACGCAGTTGTCTCGTACTTAACATATTTGTGTCACACCGTACAGCAATTGTTTAGTCATCACAGTCTACTTCTCAGTGACACTGCACCGCACAACTGACATTTCTCGCAGCACATCTTTCGACACAACGTGCTTGGGAAAAAAGAAAACATTAGACGTTTAGTGTCGCAAACTCGCACGGAACGCAATTCCACGTAGCGGTGAAACGCTCGAACCGACAGACGCACGATTTCTACACACGGTAAAATCCCTCTATCGGTAACGTTGCTCAACAGCTTGAACGTTTCGACGCTTAGACGAACAGCGGTCATTTGCGCGTCATTCGTCGAAACGTACAGTCGATCGAAATTCCTGACGGAGGATCGAACGCAGAAGGATAAGCCTCTCTAAGATTAATGATCCTACTTGAAACTACTTTCATTCATTGCACTTTAAACATTGATCAACAAATGAATGCACCGGTACGTTCAGACAAATACATTTTTCTAGTAAACCCAATAGACACACGAAATAGAAGAACATCAATTTCACTGACTCGAGTTAAAAATCTTTCCATTTTCGATTGCTCAGTTCTTTTATGCGTTCGCCAATATACATCGATTGCTTCTATTTAATAAAATAGGATCGAACGATCTCAAAGGCAAGTCTGACATTTTATACTATACTATGCCTTTTGAAACCTAGGATATTCGGTTTATCTCACCCGGCTCGATAAGCGTAGCTGTCCAAATAAGCAGAGGATTTCGATCGAGCAATTAGACTGGCGTTGTCGTGAGAAAATCTTGGACGGTAGAAATCATGGTGATCGAAGAAAGGCGATCGAGAAAAGTGGCGGGATCACGGTGAGTTCACGCTTGATTCGCGGTGGGGGAGTCGGTGGGAGGGGTTGAAATGGTCGGCCGTGATTGGCCGGGATGGCCGCGGCGGCCGGGGTGGTCGAAATTCAAGCGAAGAAGCGGCAGTTAGTGTAGCGACCGTCGAGGGCTAAACTGTAGCTGCGTAGAGTTTGATAGTGTTGTTTCGTTTTGTTCGTTTTCACGTTGGTCCGACGGGTCCGCGGCCGATAAATCTGCCATTCCGTTTAAGTTGCCGATCGCGGTCGCCGTCGCGATCGTGATCGTGTTCCCCCGGCTTTTAGGTATCGCGGCGACGCGCGACGCGATGACATATCGCGGCGTTATGGTGACACGTTTTGTGACAGTGAATTATTAGCAGTGGCGGAGGGTCGTCGAGCACCGATTACTATGATGGCCAGCTGACGGATAGATTCCGCTTCCACGTCCCTACGGCGTCAACCGAGTTGCCACAGGTACTGGAAGGTGAGTGTTTCTCGAATTCGAATTTTACTTGTTTTCTTATATATATATATATATGAGCCGTTTACTTTGAAAGTGGCATGAGTCACTTTGTTCTTAAGTCGACATATTTAAGGGTTTGCGTTTGAACACGTTTAAAAATATGGACGCTAACTTTCGAGAAGATTTACTTGTATTCGTTATCTCAGGATACTGATATTTTTCTCAGTATAAATAATTTCATATAAACATTAAAAAATCACCACTTATGCCACTTTCAAAATGAACGGCTCATACACAGAAAATCGTTTGATCATCCCGTCGCGCGTTATTTTCTCTCCGCGACAACGTACACTTCACTCGTTTGATATTTTATAATTTTATAGAATATAAATAGAAAAGCACAAGTTTTATTCATTGTACGTCCGCTTCATTTTATACATTTCGATCGTGGAGGAATGAAACTTTGAAAACGGAACACAAGTCATGCATATTTGGAATTAAACATTTTTTGTTTACACGAACTAAAGAAATATTTGCTGGTGAAAATTGAATTTCTTTGTAGAGAGTCTCGATTCTTATTTTTTCTCATTGTGTTTCTTGATTATAGTATTTTTTATTCAACCGTATAACCAGCAAAGTTCTCGATCTATTTTCTCCACGACGAGTATACTCGTCATTGTACAACGAACATTGTTATCTGTTCACGACGGATATATAATATCCGTATCTCGCAGCACACGAAGTAATTCTGGTTCCGCGTATACATCGATAGATACGCACGGAACAACCATACTGTTAACTGATCCGAAATCAACATACCCCCCCCCCCCCCTTCAGCTATGATTATAACATTGCGCGCGTATTATTTACATAATTGCCGCCGGTTTTCGGAACACAAAAGGGCTGATCAACGTTCTCGCATTCTTAATTGAGCCGTTTATTTTGAAAGTGGCACAAGTCACTTTACCGTAATGAAAAGCGGTGATTTTTAATGTTTATACAAAATTATTTATACCGAGAAAAATATCAGTATCCTGAGATAACAACAACATCCATATTTTTATAAACATGTTAAAACGCAAACCCTTAAATATTAGGGGGACCGGAAAGTTATGTCGTTTGTTTACATTAAATTCGAACAGATAAATATGCGCAGAAACGACGTTACTTTCCGGTCCCCCTAATATATCGACTTAAAAACAAAGTGACTTATGCCACTTTCAAAATAAACGGCTCAATTAGCGACGATGTTCGAACGGAACAGAATTTTCCGATGTAATTGCTCGATGTTACAAAAAAAAACAAAAACGAGCTAGACATTCTAAGCGCAGAAAAAAAAGAACATTTTCCTCTTATCAGCCGTTTCGTACAATAAATTGAAGTGTGAAACACTGTTACCGGATTGTGTGCGTTCCGACGTGGCATTTAATTTGGGCAATCAAAAAATAACTGGGAACGATGGAATTCGAGATAAAGTTTAAATTCGTCGTTGCTCTTGAACGCCGCCCGCCTGCATATATCTCATTCATTTGATAATTGACCCAGATTTAAATCCGGAGGAACGTTCGCGTGTTCGCGCGTTTGCGAGGGCGGCGCGGCGCGACAGACAAGGTGTTAATTGACCAGCGACGGGGGCCGGGTGTACATATTTACCTGCAAGGGTGCGTCCGTAGGCCGACATAACAACAACGTTGTACGGAAAAGTCGGGCTCGAACGAGCCGTTCGTGGAAATCAATTCGGGCCTGATTACCGGAGGTCGCGACGGCCAGCTAACCCGCGGCTTAACTCGAGAAAGATAATCTACGTCGCAGAGGCGCCTGCGAAATAAACAACTGACTGCACCGTGGATGACGCGAAGACTGGAAGCACCCACTTTGCCAAGGCATGTGCGAAGCAACATTGAAAATATTCTTCCAAAATCTGCTGTACAGATGATGAAGAAGAACCCTCAGCCAAAATAAGGCGTTATTGGAGTCTTTGCACGTCTAAAAAGAAAAGAATGTCAAAGATGACCTGTGCCAAATGCAAAAAGACAGTTTGTGGTGAACACAAGAAAGACGTTTGTCATGACTGTCTCTAAAGAAATTTTTTATAATATTATAGTTTTTTTTACACTGATTATATTATAGTCTACTAGTTTGTAAGGATAAAACACTATTTTTTGTGATATTTTACGGGATTTGTTCCCATAAACCGAAGACTGTTGATTTTTGTTAATTTTTCATAGAGGTCTAGTGATTTAAGTTTAAAATTACTTAAAATATAAAAAAATATAATATAAATGCATTTTATTTTTACAGTAATGCCAAACCTTTAAAATGACTAGATTAACTTAAATAAATATCCATTGTTAGTATAAAATTGACGCCTTAGAAAAGCATGCGCCTCTGAAGCGTATGGTTATCTTTTACGTACGTTGTCATATGGTTATCTTTCTAGGGTTAAAAAAAATATTCAGCTGCCACAGCCGCCGTTGTGGTTGCGCCTTGCAACGGTGTCCGAAGGTTTGCGAACGATCACGTGTTCAGGGTGCCCGGGCTCCATAAATGCTCCGGTCTCATTAGCGGACGTCGCTGTAGAAATTAGAGACGCGAAGTGTTTGCCACCTCTCTCTCTCTCTCTCTTGGAACGCAGAAATCGTTTTCCAAACCATTATTCGACAGATATCGGCCGCGATCCGTCATCCCTTTGTTCCCCGCGGCTCCGTGTTTCCCCGTTCCGCTATCAATGGTTGCAACGTGCGTAGAAACGGAATACACGCGCGCCGCTATTTTGTTGTCCGCTGCGCCTAAAACCTCGGTCGATAGTCGCCGTTCGAAACAACGGGCCGGGCATCCCGAAAGACGATAATTCTCCGATTATTTGCGAACGGATATAGTTTTGCACGCTGCCGCGCGTCCGCGCAAAAAATAAGCTGCTTCCCGGAGTCCGGGCAGCAGGGGCTCGTTAAATATTGTTTTTTTTCGCGCGCGCGCCCCTGCCCGCGCGCTCTGGGCATTCGTTTGCAATTTACGAATCTCTGTTGCATCGCCGGGCTTCCCTTTTAATTCTGTTTTTCACCCGACGGAGAATAATTTGCAAAAATTGACGGTAAATTGCAGTTTAACCGGACGCGGGACGATTAGAGGAGAATTAGAGAAAGAAAGCGGATAGAAGGATGCGGGAGAGAGAGAAAGAGAGAGAGAGAGAGAGGACAGGGAAAAAGGAATTCGCGAAAATTGAGAAGATAACAAAAATTCGCGACGGTCTCGGGGCACGCGAAATTAATCGGAAGCGTTTCTCTTTCGGACGGACGGACGGCGCAAAGTGGTCTGGGAATTCGCTTTCCGTAAGCAAAATTGTTTTAACGTTGATCCAAGGTTCAAGATTATAGTATAGTAGGTCGTTGAATTCGTCTCGACGCCGGCTGGGATATTACCAACTCGAAAATACGTGTTGACGTTTAAAAAAATCGAGGCGACCTGCACTTTGTACGAGGACAACACTTCTTCCGCAATTTTTTACACGCTAATTGTCGGAAAAGTGAACAATATATTGGATTTAGGCGTTTTCGAGCCTCCTTAGTGTACAGTGAAACGAACTTTTTTTCAATGTATTAAGCCTAAGATATTGAATTTTGGCCGGAGGAAGCGGATTCGCAGTCCGCTGCGCGGAGTCTCGTCTTTGGCTGCTAGCCTCTCGTAACACGCGACTCGCAAACATATCGCAGACAGAGAGCGAGAGAGAGAGAGAGAGAGAGAGAGAGGCGAAACGCAAAAAGAATAAGTGAAAAGAGTGGCCAGTGGAAAATGGAGGAGGAAGTGGTCGGAGTGGCCGGAAAAGCGAGCAACAGCAGCATCGAGAGGTCTGTTCCCCGAGCG